TGAGTGAGAAAGAGGGAAGAGTTGAGTTTGACTGAGGTTTTAGATCTGGAGGGCAAGAGTCTAGCAAAGCCTCTAGCAGAATGGGGAAGTGAGGTATGGTTGGTGGGAAGATGTTAGTTCAATGTGGGTCTTATAGAATTTGAGGACCTTATGGGGCATCCATGAGGAGATGTCCTTTAGGCAGCTGCAAATGTTTTTTAAAGTTCAGGGGAGAGATGGAAGCTCAAGAAGGCAAATAGGGAGTCATCCCCATAAAAGGAATTGTTGGAGGAAGGCATGGAGGTAGATAAGAGGGATGAAGGTTAGAACATAGAGTGAGAAGATGGCAGGGGCAGTGACATCTAGGCCCCGTTCCACCTACACATTTAATGTGTGTGCATTTTACCATATTTTGTTGACTCACATATGCCATTTATTTTTAAGATAGCATTATTTTATATGCCACTAAGAAAATATGCTGTCAGCAATTATGACCTGGTACTTATGGACTATGAGCACACTGATTTCAAAGATACACAAATGTGGGGGAAAATACATCTTAGAATGGATTAAATAAAATATATGCCAGCCACTGTGTCAGGCATCATGGAGAGGGGAGTGGGATACAGCTATGAAGAAGACCCTGCCTTCAATAATCTTCCAATCTCATGGTGACACCTGCAGATACTTCTACCACAAGACTGATTGAGACAGTGATACAGTGCAGGCACCAGAGCTGTTCTGAGATCAGCTGCTGCTTTTCAAGTATTGAGAGGAGTTATTAATATAGACAGAACTGACAGCCATGTCTTTCCTGGGATTTCTAGTCCTCCCCCTCCTTTTCCCTAATGCCTGAAATTTCTAGGAACAAAGCCTTTCCATCCTTTTTTTTTTTTTTTGCGGTACGCGGGCCTCTCACTGTTGTAGCCTCTCTCGTTGCGGAGCACAGGCTCCGGACGCGCAGGCTCAGCGGCCATGGCTCACGGGCCCAGCCGTCCCGCGGCATGTGGGATCTTCCCGGACCGGGGCACGAACCCGTGTCCCCTGCATCGGCAGGCGGACTCTCAACCACTGCGCCACCAGGGAAGCCCCATCCATTTTTTAATGAACTGAGATAATGAATTAAAACACCATTGTTTTGTGGTGGGTGTTGAATTGGTACAACTCCTATAAAAGGCAATTTGGAACTATCCAAATTACAAATGTGTTTGCCCTTTGACCTAGCAATACCACACTTTCAGATATACTTACCCACATGGAGAATGCCATATATACTAGCTTGTTTATTACAGCATTGTTTGAAATAGCAAATAGTTGGGAATAACCTAAGAGCCATGCATGGGGCACTGGTTAACTAGATTATGGAACATTCATACATTGGATCCCAGATCCAGGAAATGCTTGATGTATGAACAGGGAAAAGATCACTGATATGTACTGTTAACTGAAAGAATGCTAAGTGCAGAACAGTTACAGCAGACTACCATTTTATTACGAAGTGGGGAATAAGTATACATAGCTAAAATTTGCTTATGTACGCATGGAGAAACCCTAGGATACATAGGAGACTGATAACAAGGGTTAAGGTTGGGGAGGTGTAAGTAGAGAATCTGGCAGATGGGGATAGAGAAGGGAGGAGGACTTCCTATACTTTATTTCTAAACTATGTGACTGTGTTGATCTATTCAAAATGTTGCATTAATTGAATTTTTAAAAATACCCCATAGGAAGAGTTAAGCCAGTGACAATGATTCCCACCGAAAGGAGAAAGTCTACTAGTCATCATTCATTCAGTTATTCAGTAACCTATAGTAATCAAGAAACTTCTCTAGCAATAATGGTTAACAAGTCTCAGCACTGAGATGTGCCAGGCATTGTGCTAAGCACTTTCACATACATTATCTCATTTAATCCTCACCACCTCTATCTGGTGGAGGTGTCCAGCACCAGAAGAGGAAGCTGAGGATGAGAGAAGTAGTTCTTGCCTAAAGTCAACTGCAAACATCCAGGCCCCACCATCTGGGGCCAGGCTCAGTTCTGGGCAGGCACTAAGGATACCGAGACAAGGACACAACCCCTGCCCTCGTGGACTTAGTTGTCTAGTGAGGGAGACAGACAAGTAAAATAGCCGATTCACAGACAGGTTTTGAACAGGAAAAGGAGTGTTAGAGCACGATGCCTAAGGATTAGGGGACAAAGGAAACAGTGAGGCTGGGGACAAGGAGAAAACCTCTCCCACGACACCCTTCTGCCGAGGACAGGCCCTGTAAGCAGCAGTGGAACCTGGAGGCGCCTCTGTGGCAGACAACCCTGCAGCCTCAGAACCAACAATGAACAAAGGCTGCCGGTGCTCTGTAAGAACAGAGCAGATCTGACAACAGCCCAGCTTGTTTGATCAGTGTAGACATCCCTTCTGCACTTTGAAGCCTGAAGCGCTCTCCTTTAGCTGTCTACACAGATCAAATAAGCTGGATGGCTGCCATATCTCTACTTCACTTTGTGTTAAGCCATAGTCGCAGCCAGCTCCACAGCAATTCGACCAAACCATCTGAGCAGAGGCAAAAATAATTCTCATGGGCAAAGACAGACAAGTCCAAGATGTGAACATTAACTCCTTGCTGCCACTTCAGGAGGGAGTGGATTTTGAAGTTAGTTTTAGGAAGCTTCCGAGAAGGGGGCTTCTGCCCCTCTCCAAAGTGAAATGGCAAAGCTGTTTCCTCTCCTTACAGTCTGAAGTCCTTCCTATTCCAAGGCTCATACACGAACACTCATAAGAGTTGACAATTGGGACTTCCCTGGTGGTCCAGTGGTTAAGACTCCGAGCTTCCACTGCAGGGGGCATGGGTTTGATCCCTGGTGGGGGAACTGAGATCCCGCCTGCAATGCGATGTGGCCAAAAAAAAAAAAAAAAAAGAGTTGACAATAGATAGCTGTGGTCTAGTTCTTAGAAAAGCAGCCCCATCCTAAAGAATAGGATCATCCCACCGGACACATTTTTATTCACAGGATCATTCTGGGGGAAACCTTACTCCAGCCCCCTCAAGTCATCAAGCAGCAGTGGGGATCTCAGGAAATCCTTGTCATAGAGGCTGGCAGGGCCAGGCTTCTATCAACAAACCCAGGAGCCAAGTGGCATCGTTAAAAAAAGATTAAAAATCTACATGAGTTCTAACATCTTCATTCCTAGCTGTGGTTTCCATGGAAATAGACATCTGCTCCAGGGAGAAAGAAAAGGTGGGGGGAAGCGGTATAAGTGCTTTAAAATAATCAGTGTTTTGAAAGATTTTTTTTTTTCTGTCATAACATTAATAGTCAGAAGTGTGAGATTTTTGTGGCAATTTCTTGTATTAAAAAAAAGTGTATCAAATGGGTGGGACCTTCCTCTGCAAACCTCCAGATCAAGTACAAAGACTTCAAGATAAAGGCTGGTTCAGGGGATAGCAGACCTCTTGGCCTTGGGTTTCTTGTTTGTGTGTGTTGCCTGCCAATCTGTCACTTTTCAGTGAGCTCTTATCCCCACTCCTCTTCCTAACGATTTCTGAGATTTTGCTCAGAATATCTGAAAGATGGAAACACCTGGCTGTTTGCTGGCTAAGTTTGGTCTGAGAGGGAGAAGGCTCTCAGGGTTCAGAATCTGAATTATTCCTGGTCCTGCTCACATGCTAAGGGAAAACCACTTAGACTGGGGGCGGGGGAGAGGCCGACCCCACACAAGGACGATTGTTGGAGAAATGCTGCAACAAGCATATTTCAGGCATCAGTGCATTGCTAATTGTTTGCTTTGTGTGGTGTGTCTGCTGCCTGTATGATCCAGTTTTCCTTGTCTCAGGCACTCTGAATTGTATTTAACTCCAGCATATCCCTAGTGACTAGCTGGACATGGGGAGTCTTTAAATTAGGACTCCTGTTTCAGCAAACTGGGTCGTGTTTGTTTCTTGGTTTGGGGAGGCGGAGCAATAAAATGAAGGTGTCCTTTTGCCTAGTCAGGACCTCAAAGCATGTGCTTTGGTGGAATGACCACTACCGAGGACAGAGCCTTGGTCGCGGGAATGGGAAAAGGGGCTTGGGAACCATGTTCATTTTATTTATTTTTCCTCTGGCTTTTCTGTGGTAAGAATGAGGCTAGTCGTTCTAAGATAGCCAGGGTCAGACCAATTTCCTTTGTGTATCTGCTGTGCTTCTGATCTATCCAGGGCAGGGGGAACCGTGACCTTGTGGCTTCTTTTGTTTTGATTCTTTAAAAGGGCCCCCACCGATCAGGGAGCACGTGCTTCAAGAACAAAAGCAACACTTAACTGCAGTCTGTGTAGTAGTCTAGAACTGCTATTGCGCTTCCTTCCCTATCATCCGGCAAAAGGCTTGGCAGAACAGATGGGAGCCTGCATTTAAGCCGAGTGACTTTGTTAGACCAAAGGAGATCAAATTCCAGAGCCTCTTGCTTTCCCCCCCACAGGTCTCTGGTCACCAGATCAGGGACCCTAATATGGTAGCGAGAACTCACACAGTGAGTTAAGGGCCACGCCCGTGCCCTGTTAGGGCTGAGTGGGTTAGAAATTATGATGATGTCACAATACAGGTGACAGATGGGGGCGTCGAGTGGCATTGTCCTGTCACAAGGTCTTGGGCGTCTTAGGTGGCGTTACAGGGTGGGGCACCGAAGGGGCAATGCGCTGTCCGAGTGCTGCCCTTGGGGCGACGTGGGGCAAGTGGCTCAACAGACACGGAGTCCAGGCGGCCACCGTCTGAGAGGTAGAAAGGGACCCTGCCCCGCCCTTTTCCTAAGGATGGGAGAACTGGTTCAGACCCAGGCAGGGTCACCGCATCACCCTCTTCCGCGGCCAGACGACCGTCCAAGCCCCCGGCTCACACCTGGAGACACCGCCAAGAAGCCCTCACCCCTCGCATTGTCCTTCTGTCCCGCCAGCCTGAACTACACTTCCCGAGGTGCTCCGGGGTCCCCAGGGGCGGGGCTCACTTGGGCTGTCGGGGGTGGGGAGGGGCCGGCACGTGCCGCCTCTCTCAGCCAATGCGGAGCCCTGCGGGGAGGTCACGTGCCGCTGTTTGGCGCTTTTGTGCGCGCCCGGGTCTGTGGGTGCTCAGAGTGTGGCCAGGCGGCTCGGACCGAGCAGGTGGGTGCGGGGTTCCAGGAGGAGGTGGCGGCGGCGGCTGCAGGCTGGGGGCAGCGAGAGGGACGCGGCCGGAGGGAGGGGCAGGGTCTTGGCAGCGACCCCTTGCTGGAGGGCGGCGGGCGGGGCCGCGGCCCCAGAGGGGCTGGCGGGCGGGGATCGCTCCGCTTTGTGTGTGGCTCGGGCGGAGCCTCGGCTTTGTCCCTGCTCCCCGGGGGCGCGGCCGTGGTGGGGAGGGGGCGCGGCCTGCTGGGCGAGCTCGGTGCGTTAGCCCCGGGAGGTCGTCGAGGAGACAATAGGGGGCGTAGGCCCTCATTTGGCCCCCACCTTCCTCCTGCAGGCGCGGCCCCGCTGGGGTCCCCATTGTCTGAAGGGGCGGGGCGGCGCCCCCAGGGAGCAGCGCCCGAGAGTTTGACACCCCATGAGAGCGCTCCAGTCCTCATGGCGTGGGGCGCGGACCGCTTGGGTGGCGGCAGATTGGGAGTGAAGGAAAGAGGTGGTGAGCCGATGGTGGGGTACCCCACGTTTTTTTTCCGGGGACTGCCCCACCCGCCCAGCTGTGGCGAGGGTGGGGGCCGCCGCAAGGTGTTTTTGGCGGGAGTTGGTGGGGGCGTCCGCACGGGGCGAGCCCGGGAAGGGCGGAGTTACCCGGATAGGACCGTTGGCCCCGCCTATCCCGCCCCTTCCCACGCGCGCGGGCTCCGGGGTGTTATGAGTTCGGGGAGATTCGAAAAGGCGCGGGGAGGAAGGGGGCGGGGCCAGAGGCCGGAGTGTAGGGCATGCTCTGATTGGTCGGGGGCGGCCTGCCGCTCTTCCTCGCTTGGGCCGGGGCCACGCCCACCCTGGATCTGGTGCTGAGTCTAATGCTCCGCCGGGGTTAGACCGTGTTGCTGACTCGGATTTTAAGCTCCAGGTGTTGAGACCCTGTATTCCTACGGTTTTGGTACTAGTCTGGGGTCTACAAGAATCATGACCTTTAAAAAAAATCAAAGGATGTAGAATTTTTCATGAAAAATTCTACACAAGGCAGCAACTATTGTAACCTAAAACCTAGAGGTTCATAAAAACTAATTAATGTTACCAGCTGTTGGACAAGGAGCTTAAACCGCAGGAACAATGGGAGTTCGACATTATTGGTTAATATTAGCTTGGGCGTTTTGTTTTCCACATGGCAGACACAGACAAAGCAGGGTTGGGTATTTCATTTGCACAATGAGTTGTAGGCAGTGTTAAGATGGCTCCGGTCTCGCTAGGCGTTGAACCTGGAATATCTTCTCACCAGGGGGAAAATATAGGGGAGGAAAAAATCTTGTGACTTAAACTCCGTCTAATTTAAAAAATATAAGTATTTTTTGAACAGGCAAGCTCAGTTAACTTCATCTTCTGCAACCAGCGTTCTATTCAATTCACATTTTCCAGTGTTGGAGTATTTTATGGATTTTTATAATTTTCTAGTTAATGATGTCTTATTTAATTCCACAGTAGTGATTTTTCTGACATTGATTTATATGGATGTGATTTGAGGTCCCTTTGAATCGATGGCATGGAAATGCAAAGAAATTGATCGCATGCTTTTGAAAATCGTTTCCAGGGTTTTCCTTGCTAGTGGATTGTGTAGAATACACTGCCAGTCTCTTGTCTTCTGTTCACCATGGCTTCTTCTGGTAGGTAATCTATTTGGAAAATCCGAAATTGTGATGGGCTTCTAATTTTAGGAGATGGCTCAAGTCTTAAGCTTATAATTTGGCACTTGTGTTTTGGTCTTACCAAAAAAAAAATCTATTTTATAAATCAGAGAATAATTAAAAAAGAAAAAAATATTATTACTTGAATGTACTGAGAGCTCATAATTATTGTTTCATTATTAGATGATTTGGCTTGGTGTAAAGCAAAATGTGGAGTTTTGCATAAGTCTTTGTTTTGTTCAGGGAAATGATTGTCAAATACTGATATCTTAGAATGGTATTTATTAATCCAAAAATGTTGAGCTTTGTTTTTCTGGGAGGTGGTATTTAGATAATAATTTCTTGCCTGTAAACACAGCTGCTTCATCAGCCCTAATTCTATTCATTAAATTGATTTGGTTTTTAGAAAACGGTAGAACAGTTTATTAGAATAGGAAAACTCCATTTTTCTGAATATATTATAAATATGATCAAATCCAGATATCCAGGTGAAGGAACTGGAGAAGCGTGCCTCAGGCCAGGCTTTTGAGCTGATTCTCAGCCCTCGATCAAAAGAATCTGTCCCAGAATTCCCCCTTTCCCCTCCAAAGAAGAAGGATCTTTCCCTGGAGGAAATTCAGAAGAAACTAGAAGCTGCAGAAGAAAGACGCAAGGTAAACATCAATTCACAGAAAACAGGATATTTATTAATGTAATATGGCAAATCTGTGTTATTTTTATAAGAGGAGGAAAACAGAATTGTAGCCAGATGGTGATTATAACTGTGAAAATTACATATGCCAGTGGTGGGAACAAAATACCAGCCATCATTTATTGAGCTCCTATTGTGTACCATCTCCTTTACTTACATTCTCCTTTTCTACAGTGACCCTAGAGGGTAGGTGTGGTCTGAGATACTAGGTTAGAAAATGGTCTCAGGAATGTTGTCATTTTTCTGAGTCACATAGCTAGTGAGTATTGGAGCCAGAATTCAAGCCCAGGTCTGCCTGAAACCAAAGTTCATGCTTCTCATGCTTTCTTTTTGAAAAATAGATTTGTTGGTAGATGATTCTTTTTTTGTCTCTTAAGGTTTGGGGTTTTTTTGTTTTGTTTTTTGGGTTTCTGTGTATGTCTGTGGTTTTTTTGTTTTGTTTTGTTTTTTGAGAGCTGTACAATAAAAACATTTTAAATTGCTAGTTATGTGATTGTGTTGCTCAGCTGGCATACTGGTATTGTGGCAGCTATTATCTAAGTACTTCTGTTATAAAGTAGCTATCTTTAAAAAGAACTAGTCAGAAAAGTCAACAAATATTAATATGCTTGTTATAGAAAAATTGAGAACCGCAGAAGTTTATAAGTAGGAAATTAAAAGTATCCGTTATCTTACTTCGCAGAAATAACTATTGTTAACATTTTGGTGTATTTCCCTCTATTAAACGTTTCATTAAGAATTTTACAGAAATTCTCATTTAGTCCCCCTTTCCAACAACCTTGTTTGGGGTAAGTGGGTTTAATTCTAAAATTAGAGGAATGAAGGCACAAAAAGGTGAAGTAGTAACCTGCCTACGACCAACACAGTTAGTGTTTTGAAGTCTGGTACATGTAACCACACACATACACTTTGGGCCCCTTTTTAAGCTGCTGTAGCATGTGCTGTACACCTTTTGGTGCCGCATGTTTTATGTATGTGTGCTGACCCACTGTCAACATGGAATTATTTCCCCAGGAAGAGTGGCTGTGTTTGCAATGGTGTTTCATCTCCCACCTGCTCTTCTTTTTAGTCTGAGTTGATGGAGTTTGATGGAGTTCACTTAGTTTGAGTTCATGGAAGAGATGTAGCCAAAGGCTGGACAGAGACTTTTTTTAGGAATCAGTGCTGGCCCTGTAGTCATTAGTCTGCGCTTTACATAGTAACTGGCTAAATATAGTGAAACTCTTATCACGACTGGGATTTTGAAGAAGAGAATTAACAGAACTAGTGGCAGATGCTCTGAAGTTTTCATGCAAGTTGATGCTTCCAAACACATTGGAATCTGTTTGGCAATAAGCTGTTCTGAGTCTGTTGAAGGAGGCACACCGTGGTAACAGAGCTCCAGTGGTCTGGAATTTAATGCGGCTTCCACAGAAAAAAGCTAATAAGCCTTTCCTTGAAACAAATCCTCTGACTTAAATAGTAATCTGGAGGCTTAGTCTTAAATTTTCTATCATTGCCATGTATTTTCTTTTTATCAATATGGTTACATTTTTTATAATGACCTAATTTTCTTTAGGTAGCCTTTGAAGTTAAAAAACCAAAATTCTTTACAATAAAGTGTCATTCCTAAGTGCATGTCACTCAAGTCATCTTGATACCATTAAGCAGTAAATCTTACAAATATTTCCTTAAGGAATAATTGGGCAAGAATCTCTGAACAAATACGGGCAGTCTTCCAAAGTAAATACAAACACAAGAAAAAGAATATAATTTTCACGGTATTTTGATATGGATAATTCAGGTCCTGACTTCAGTATTATTTAGAGATCTAATTTTCTATCTTCAATCCTCAATTAATAATTTCTTTTGTGATTTTTAACTACGCTAAGTAACATTTCAGAGCGCCTAGCCTGTTAAATCTTTTCCAGTCCCATGAAGCTGAGGTCTTGAAGCAGCTTGCTGAGAAACGAGAGCATGAGAAGGAAGTGCTTCAAAAAGCGATAGAGGAGAACAACAACTTCAGTAAAATGGCAGAAGAGAAGCTGACCCACAAAATGGAAGCCAACAAAGAGAACCGAGAGGCGCAAATGGCTGCCAAACTGGAGCGTTTGCGAGAGAAGGTTGGTGTCTCTTCCTGGCTTTGAGGGGCTTAAGAGCTTGAGGTTTGATACACCAACGAAGTGGCTTGGACTCTCTGCCTTGATCACATGTGCTTGGTGTCTTTGTCATCAATTTTGGGGTTAACATGTTAAATCAGAGGCATCTTATATTAAATAAGAAGGAATATTCACCAATTCCTAGCATAATTGCACATTCTTTGGAAGAGCAGTAGAAGGCTGAATCATTAGGTTCCATGAGTGACCCAGGAAGTTCAAAGATGATGTCTTAGAACTCTAGTTATGTGATTCCCATAATATATAATTATATAATAATAGTATATTATTATATATGTTATATAACATACTTACTGATGCTGATTTGGGCCTCTTGGGGGTGTGACCTGGCAGGCTTTTTTTACTTGACTGATGGTATATACTGTTTCTTTACAGGACAAGCACATTGAAGAAGTGCGGAAGAACAAAGAATCCAAAGATCCTGCTGATGAGACTGAAGCTGACTAATTTGTTCTGAGAACTGACTTTCTCCCCCTCCCCTTCCTAAATATCCAAAGACTGTACTGGCCAGTGTCATTTTATTTTTGCCCTCCTGACAAATATTCTAGAAGCTGATGTAGGACTGTATAGGTAGATCCAGATTGTATGATGTTGTTTTAGGGGCTAAAGGGGAGAAACTAAAAGTGTTTTACTCTTTTTTCTAAAGTGTTGAAGTCTTTCTAATGTAGCTATTTTTCTTGTTGCATCTTTTCTACTTCAGTACACTTGGTGTGCTGGGTTAATGGCTAGTACTGTATTGGCTCTGTGAAAACATGTTTGTGAAAAGAGTATGTAGTGGCTTCTTTCAAACTGTTAGATGCTGAATATCTGTTCACTTTTAAATCCCAATTCTGTCCCGATCTTAACAGATGCTACTGTACTTGAATGGTTAATAAAACTGCACAGTGCTGTTGGTGGCAGTGACTTCTTTCTGTCCAGGTAATAAATTGTCCAGTGATAGAGACCCTCCTAGTTTATATTTGTTCCAGATGGGGCCTTTAGGCTGGCGGAAATACCCAGCACACACATCACTGCGAGGTCTCTGCCCTGGAGTTTCTCGCTCCAGAGTCGTATGCATTGTCTTCTTCCACAATCGTCACTTTGTTGTGATGCCTCGGCTCCGATCAGCTGTTACGATAGTGTTTCAGATGTTTATTGGCAAACAAGCATTTTTTGTTTCTGTGCCCCCATTAAAAAGGCAAATGGTGTTTCTAGAGAATAGTTCAGAGAAATCTTAAGATCCTAGTTAGATATATTTGATGGTTTATTTGCTTTATGTTACAGCTGGGGGTGGCGTGAATCCTAATGCTTTCCTGCCATAGGAGCCATTTCTCAAGAATCAAAAGAGTAGTAAAACCTTGTGGACCACTATAGCAGCCCTTATGCACTGAGAAAGGGAACCTTATTTTCTGGAGCAGCATTGACTTGGGTGGTGAAGGTTGGCAGTTGCTTCATCTTGTATCCAGAGGTTACAGTGTTCACAGTTGTCAAGGATTGCCTCTCAATTCCGGGAAAGCCTTTGGCAGCTTTCCTAGGCTATTTGGGAAATAGCCTTAATTACATATGATTATTTGCTTCTCAGACGTCTGTGGAAAAGCTCTTGGAAGCCACGCTCCTTGAAAGTTTCCAGGATGACTGCTAATACTGCAGTGGGGTCTGCATGTTGCCATGCTTATGCCTCTGCAGCTCTGGATTTGGGTTTCACCAAACTTAGAATAATAGCCTACCAACCTTTCTTCTATGTTGTTAGGATTAAGTGAGAGTGTGTGTGTGTGTGTGTGTGTGTGTGTGTGTAGAGCACACTTAGAACTGTATTTAGTATATATTTAGCACTATATATAAATAACTTTTTAACCAGAGGCTAGTGAGTGAGCTAAGTATATACTCTTGAGGTAGAAATGACTATGAAGCTTTTGTATGCCTTGAATTGACTTATAAATTTACAAGGTGATCAATTGTAGGGGTTCTGAAAGAAGGCTGAATTTAAAGAGTCATGACCATGTAGGGCAAACAGGAAAAGGATCAAGTGTAGTTCGGTTAATGATGGCAATACCTGAACACATAGGCAAAGGTGAGGCTTGTGTGCATATAGTAGGTATTAGAGGTTTGCATGGGTGAGGTGGTGCCTCTGGGAGTCTTTAAAGCACCAGTTCTGAGTAGTTGGGATATAAAGATGGCGTGAAGATAGAAATTTGGAGTAATGATCCTAGGTGTCCTACGGTTAACAGTAAGTTTTTGTTTATATGGGACATGTAGGCTAGGTAACAGAGATCAGGAAAAAGCAAGAAGAGGGTCAAGATGGGCTTGAGAGATCCCCCAGTTAGTTACAGCCAACCCCACAGTGGCCCTGACTTAGTATCAAAAAGTGGTCCTGAGCTCCCACCGTGTGACAACAATTGTCACAGGGAACTGAAGAGGATGCATTTTACCAACAAAATCAGAAGGCCTGGCTCTTCTATTTTACCTCTGACCTTTGGAGACGTACTAGTCCTGGGCCTCAGTTTTCTCCAGGATAAAATGAGAGGGTTGAACTAGGTTAAGTAATTTCCACGCAAAGTCTTTGCGTATAATTTGGAGAGAAGGAGGAGTGGGTGTCCAGGAGCTTCTGGGGAATGTCTGTCTGTGCTTTCCTGGGCCCGGGGACTCTCTGTCCTGTACTTAGAGTGAGCAGGGCCAGCCTCTCCTGGCAGGACTTATGTCATAGGTTGGGCTTGTAAGGCCAGAGTGGTTTCACTGTCACCACGGAGCACACTCTGTTTCCTTTGACTTGAGTGGAAAATGAGGTGCGTCCCTTCTTCCTGAGGCTTTTGTTCTTGGACATGGTGATTGAGTGCCCTCAGCAGAAGAGAGAGGTTTGAGGGATGAAGAAAGCCCTTAAATCCACGTTTAACAAGCTGCTAGAGTGTGCCCCACATTGAGCTATGTGCTAGTGATGAAAAGATGAGATGGGGTCCCAGCGCACCTTGTGCTTATGGATGAAGCGGGCAGGAGGGTTGTGGAACACTTTGCTGAGAATATGGTCTCGACCACATGCTTGTACTTGGCCAAGTGTGTTTTGGTGGTTTTGTGGAGAGTGTAACCACAGGCGTCGGTGGTCTGGAAAGCTTAATAGAGGAGGGAAGACTTGAGCCAGTCCTTTGAGAAGTCAGATGTTGACCCAAGCATGCACTGACGAGCACGCACTTTTTGAGAACCTGCCATGATTACTGACTCATGGCAGGCTCTCATTCCCTTTATCCTAAGCAGTGGGGCTTTAGAACACAGGAATGGTAGTGTTCAGTGAACAGAGCCGTTTTGAGGGAGAGAAAATGGAGGCAGGGGCAGGATGAATTGGAGAGAAGGCGATGGAGACCACAGCAGGAGGCTGTCTCAGCAGCACGGGGATGAAGTGATGAGCGTCTGAGCTGGAGGGGGCCACCCCATATAACTCTGTCCTCCCAGGTAATGGTTTGACCACCTTACTGTTAGTTTGACTTCTGAATCACTGTTGAAAGTGATTTGTTTGGGAACAACAAGAAGATAAGGCCAGGCTCCTTATAGAGGAGATTCCCCCTTTGGACGGGAGGCTGGATTAGGTGCCCTGGAAATTCCCTTCCACATTCAAGACTAGTTGCAGGTCTTCGCTACCTGGTTAGATCAGGGACCAACCATATCTTGGCCATTGAGGATCCCTCCACTGAGCTGAACTTCAAGGCCCCAGAAACATCGCTGGCACTTAAGCCTCTTGCCGTCTGCCTCCTCCCTCATTGCCCAGGTCAAATAGAAGGTCCCCATGGCTCAGGCCCCTGCCAGTGGAAGCTGGTGTTCTGCACTTCAGCGGCACCAGGAAGGTTTTCTGACTTGTTTTATACAGGCACTCAGATCTGTAAAACAGTTGCAGGGTTTGATAAGTTCTGAAATGCAGCAACCTCAGTGGAGGGGCTCTGGCCCATAGTGGGAAATGCCCAGCTTTCTCCCAGTGTGGTCAAGAGCAGTACCTTCCCTGTCCTTGGGCACCAATCCTACTAGGGGCCAGTGGGCTGTGAAATTGATCCAAGGGGAGAAGAAATAGGCGGGAGATTGGCCAGATGCCCGTGGCCGCTACAGCAGAATGGTGGGTACAAGGAGGACTGAGCTCTGGGGGTGCAGCAGTCCCTGGGCCTTGCTGGGAACAACAAGAAGATAAGGCCAGGCTCCTTACGGAGGAGATTCCCCCTCTGGAGGGGAGGCTGGAGGCCTGTGGCCTCCCACTCCCCTCTCTGGGGAGAAGCTCCAGTATCGCTGGGATTGGGGGGGCCTTGGTGGGGTTCTCTGCGAAGCCTAGGCTCCCTCTTACGTGGTCTCACAGCTCTCTGTACTTCATGGCAGCGGCTAATCATTATTTGCATCATCTCAATGGATTCCCAGAGCAACCCTATGACATTATCATGCCCGTTTCACAGGCAAGAAACGAGGCAAGTGAGACAGGTTAAGGTATTTGCCCAAAGTGACATAAACGGCTAGGTGTGGAGTCAGGAATCTAACCCAAACTTTTTTTTTTTGCGGTACGCGGGCCTCTCACTGCCGCGGGCCTCGCACTGCCGCGGCCTTCCCCGCTGCGGAGCACAGGCTTTGGACGCGCAGGCCCAGCAGCCATGGCTCATGGGCCCAGCCGCTCTGCGGCACGCGGGATCCTCCCGGACCGGGGCACAAACCCGCGCCCGCTGCATCTGCAGGCGGACCCCCAACCACTGCTCCACCAGGGAAGCCCTAACCCGAACTTTTAACCCCCATGCTATGCTGCAGCTCCTCATGTTTCACAAATGAATTCATTATCATGCAATTATTTATTTCAAGTGTGTCTCTCTAGTTAAAAGGAAGCGTCCCCCAGAGCAGGAGCTGTGCCTGTCACATCACTGGATCTCCAGCACTGAGCCTGGCACAGGGTGGGAGGTTAATAGGTGCTGAATTATGAGTGGGTGGTGACTCCTCTGGGCACCCGCTTTGTTCTTGTCCTGTGTAGACCCCGTGGGGAGTCAATCCAATTTTCTAGAAGCAAAGACTGGCTGTGTCCTGGCTTTGCAGACTGGCCTTGGAGGTGCCCAATCCTAAACAGCATCTTCCTAGATCCAAAGGCGCCAACTGGTGGCCTGCAGCCAGAGTCGGTCAGCAGGCGTGTTGTCTTCACTCCATGCTGTGCTTTAAATTTTTGAATTAGGTGACAATTAATTACACTTGGAAATATGATTTCAGGCTTATCTTGAAAAACCAGATCTGGCCACCCTGGGCTCACAGTCCCACGGAGCAAGCTCTGGGCAGCTGCTGCCCCCTTGAGGTGGGATGTGTGCTCTCTAGCTCTCCATTCCTCTGATCCACCCACTTCTGTCTGTAAGGACCACAGCCCCAGGTATAAATACAGGCCTAGAGTTTGCAGTTCCTGACATGGACGACAGCCACTTCATCAGTCAGCCACACGTTTTTTTTTTAGGTCAAAGTCCAATCAGTACAAAAGGATATATAAAAGTGCCACTCCTTCCCAACTTCCCCCAGCTCCCCTCCTGGAGGTCCCCGAGTCTCCTTCCACAGACATGCTGCACCACTATGACCACAGTCACCGAACACTCGAGGGCACCTCTTATGGGCCAGACACCAGCTGGGCATCAGAGTCACATGGCACTTTTTCAAAATACAGAGATTCAGGACCCTCATCAGACCTTTGGAGGTAGACTTTCTAAAATTGGAGCCCAGGTGTCTAGATCTCTCAAAAGCCCACAGTATTCTCTGTTGCTCAGCCAAGCAGAGAGCACTGTACTCAGATGCAACATCCCAAACATGGGCGCCTCTCTGGAGTACCCCACAGTCTGGTGGAGATGGGCCTGGAACCCCAGTCATCAGCGCAGCTGCTCAGAGTTGTGCAGATAATACCCTGCGCAAGAGCGCCTAGCCAACGCCTGAAATC